GCGCGCGCGTGTGTGTGTGTGCGTGCGCGCGCGTGTGTGTGTGTATGCGTGCGCGCACGCGTGTGCGTGTGTGTGCGTGCGCGCGCGTGTGTGTGTGTGCGTGCGCGCGCGTGTGTGTGTGCGCGCACCTGTGTGTGTGCTCGTTGTGTGTGTGTGCGTGCGCGCGCGTGTGTGTGTGCGCGCGTGCGGTGTGTGTGTGCGTGCGTGTGTGCGCGTCATGTAGTGTAGAATTCATCAGCATATCAATGAATATGTACGGATCCACTATCAACACTAACTATCAACCTTAAGAAACAAATGCTCGGATTTCGCACATTTGCTTATACTGGATGCCATCACAATCCCTCGCGCCGACGATGTAAACAAAGATAAACTTGCATTCCTCTCCAGACGAATGTTTGCAAATATAAGAGGTAGTCGCTGAATTTGTTTCGTGGCTTAGTTGATAATTGCGCCAAGCTACCTTGCACAGGCGAAAGTTGCCGGTGAATTTGAGTTCCGTGGCCGAGTGATCGCATTCTTCGGGAACGTGAATCTGTAACAAGTACAATCTCAAGATTATCCATCTTACGTGGATGCTCGCAAAGCGATTATTACATTCATTTCAAACGCACGCACGCACACACGCACACACGCCCTCCCCCCCAACACACGCACACAGCGCCCCTCCCCCACACCGCACACACGCCCCCCCCACACCACACACGCACCACGCACACACGACCCCCCCCCCCCCACACTAGCACACCACGCAACGACACACGCACGCACACGCACGCGCACGCGCACCCGCACGTGCCACGCACACGGCGCACGCGCACGCTCCCACGCACGCGCGCACACACACACACACACCACACACACACACACACCACACACACACACACACACACACACACACACACACACACACACACACACTTGCGCATGAACCATACCCGCTAGCAGATTTCACACTAAATATTGCTACACACTATAGTGTCACTACCGTGCTGCACTGGCGGTCGCCCGAGCAGAAATGTATATAAAGGAGGTGTACAACAGCAAGCTACCGCAATTGTTCACCGTTGCACTATTTCGTCTCTAGAAAAGGCCTTTTTTGGCATTTTTTTTCGCCGAAATTCGGCACTAGAGTGCAATAATTTGCATTATGCACGCAAGTTAGATGCCTCGTGGACAAGTTAGATGCCCGTCTAGAAAGCATTAGAAGTAAAATTATTCGTGTTGTGTAATTGTGCCATTCCAGCTAGTGGCGTAGCCATGGTCGCCGGTCGGCCATTTCTGTGTATGAAACGGGATCCGACTACTCTGTAGAAATCTGCATCATAGAGCTGGCAAAAGTTTCGAGCGGAGCATAGAGCACGAATCTGTAGTTATTTAACATGAATAAAGTGTATGTTTTGTAAGCCCAGTAACAGTGTGAGTATTTTTAATTAATTTCTGTTCGATGCTTATTCAGGCCTGCAGCCTATGGACGCCCTCTACTGTTGTTCAACACCTAAAGCGGTACCTACTGCCATGTTTTTGCTGACTCTAGAAGCGCGCGTGGAGGGAGTGCAGCCGATCGCCCGTGTCGCTATCTCGATACGAATAGATCCCCACGCTGTCTCCGTTGCCAACCTCAGCATGTATCTGCAATAACATCGTAAAATCAGCAGCCGTTCAATTTTCTATCCGAATTTTCGGTATCGCTTCCGAGAAATCGTTCGAGATCGAGTTACTCACATGTAATCCATGCTGTGCGACTTGCTCAGTGAATCCGGTTCCGGTATTATCGTACACGTGTCGAGTTTGCCATCGGTTAGAGCGGAAGGGTTAAAGCCGTGATCGGTCATGTTAAAGTAAGAGGAAGGTGTGATCGATATGCTTTCGAGTTCAACTGCAAAGCAGGAAATTATAACGAAAATAAGGCATAATAAATCAGACTGGAAAATAAGGCATAATAAATTATCAACGCATAAACATGAAATGTTATCTTAGCGTACGATGAAGTCGAACAGAAGTTAAAGATGTGGTGGAAATTTTGTGGGCGCAATCCTGTATAGGATATTACCAACACCATAGACGTACGCGCAATTACCTCCGAGGCATTCCACGTCACTAAGCTGTAGAATTCCATAGCTAGGCTCCGACACATCGCCAAAGTAGAGTTTCGTTATGGGAAGTGTTCGTTTGCTGCTTACGGTGACGAAATCCGATGAACTATTATGTGTGATGCAGTTACAAGTTTTCGACTTGCAAAGGTTCTTCCAGTTCACCTCCGCGTACGCTGGTTCATTGCTTTGCAGGCTTATAGCAGAATAAGTAGTGCTATTGTCCTAAATAAAAGAAAACGTTACGAAATGCTGAAAATGATACGAATAATTTTGGTCATTTATTTTATCTATGACAAACGAAAAAAGTAAAATTTCGAAACGATATTTAAAACTACATTATTATGTTACACTATACTGTACTATGCTATGATATGCTATGCTATGCTATGCTATGCTATGCTATGCTATGCTATGCTATGCTATGCTATGCTATGCTATGCTATGCTATGCTATGCTATGCTATGCTATGCTATGCTATGCTATGCTATGCTATGCTATACTATACTATACTATACTATACTATACTATACTATACTATACTAGTACTATACTATACTATACTATATGCCTATTGCCTATGCATATTTACATATAGTATTGCTATTGCCTTATGCTATGCCTATCTATTATGCTATGCATCATGCCTATGCGATTGCTATACTATGCTATGCTATGCTATGCTATGCTACGCTACGCTACGCTACGCTACACTACACTACACTACACTACACTACACTACACTACACTACACTACACTACACTACACTACACTACACTACACTACACTACACTACACTACACTACACTACACTACACTACACTACTACTAACACTACCACTACACTACACTACACTATATATACTATACATATATTATACATATACTATACCTATACTAATACTATACTATACTATACTATACTATACTATTACTATACTATATATACTATATATACTATACTATTATATACTATACTATACTATACTATACTATACTATTACCTATACTATACTATACTATACTATACTATACTATACTATACTATACTATATATACTATACTATACTATACTATACTATACTTATACTATACTATACTATACTATACTACTATCTATACTATACTATACTATACTATACTATACTATACTATACTATACTATACTATACTATACTATACTATACTATACTATACTATACTACAATTCGCACTTACGTAGAGCATGCCGCCATTAATACAGCTGTAAGAAATGTTCTGATAGCAATCGTAGGACATGTCTTGGAGAGCATCATCTGACTGAGACTGGCAGGCGTACGTGGGCGTATATTCAAAACAAGCGTGGCTCGCTACACCCTTCAACCTGTTCATGAAAACAGATTTTATTATTGAGGCACGCCTATAATATTTCACTAGAATAATGAGCTAGACGTTAAATAGTATAGCAGTAGTTTGATCTGGGTCTATGAAGAATGGAGAGAAAACACAAGGACAAGACAACACTCAAAGATACTTCACCTTACTGAAGATGCCGCGCAATGAAGAGAGAGCGAGAGGGAGAGAGAGAGAGAGAGAGAGAGAGAGAGAGAGCGCGCGAGAGAGAGACCAGAGAGCGAGAAGAGAGAGAGGAGAGACGAAGAGAGAGGAGAGATGGAGAGAGAGAAAGGAAAGAGCGCGCGCGAAAAAGGGGGAGGGAAGGAAGGAGAGAAAGAGAGAGAGAGAGAGAGAGAGAGAGAGAGAGAGAGCGAGAGAGCAAGAGGGGAGAGAGAGCAGAGAGGGGGCGAAGAGAGTGAGTGAGAGAGAGAGTGAGTTGGAGAGAGAGCGTGAGGTGAG